CATGTCTTGGCGAATGGATGTGAATATGTAATGAGTGGTAATCTATCGCTAAATGTATGGATAATTGCCATGAATTGTGTGCTTCAAACACAACAGCCTTCAGAGATAGACATCGAGAGAGTATTTATTGTCGCAAAAAAAAACCCAAAAGCTTTCAAATTGTGATTTATTTGGTCTTAAGATTAGCGAAACAATTATTTAATCCATTGCATCATTGAATCCATTATTTGTCACATCAATTGATCCTATGGTGTGGTAACTGGACTTTCCTCCTCTGGACTATGGTTTTTGATTGGCTTAAGTGGTAAACATCCGGACCATTGAATCAACACTTTAACCAAACAATCGGTTGTTTTGTTGTTTCAAAACTGATTTCGATATGAATTTGAGGGAAAATGAGTTGCGATTAGATTTGTGCTCAAAACCAGAAATGTGTTGTATTTGTATAGTGTATACCAGAGTGTTATAGTGTGTGCTATAGTGTGTATGTGTTGTCTGCTATAGTGTACTAATGAATGAGTAAATTATACTTATTTTAAGCGTTGATTGAGTTGTGATATAATTGTAACGACGAGTCGATCATATGATGTGCGAAAAGCCATTGCATTCAACGCACGACAACAACTGTAATACTCTGTGCATTGAGAGAGTGATGCAAACACACTGTGCGAGTGTATGGGAGAGGGAGTGAGAGAGTGTGTGAGAGAGTGTGGGGGAAGGGTATGGTTAGGGAGCGAATGAATGTGTGATTCTGTGGGACACACACACAGTGTGTCTGTTGTGCACATGTATTGCACAGGCATTGCGTTTGCCATACAGTCTCCCATAGAGTAGTGCACAGACTGTACGGTATATAAGAGGCATGTATTGAGTGGTGTCTGTGAAGTAGTGCTCGCGTTTGCATTGCCTGTAGTCTCGCATCTCATATGTTTGGTTTGGTTTTGTCTAACACTTTAACATTCATTTGGCATTAAAACAAAAACCACACTTCAATTGTATACTTGTGTGCCATTGAGTGTACGGTTTCGCCACATCATTGTCTCCATACGACTCGAGTAGTGTCCTTACGATTTGAGGGATCCGTTGAAGTGATGCAAAGTCAGCAAAACGGCGCCAATGGATGCCATCTGAACGGCAACTCCAACGGCATTCACGCCAAGAATCACAGCAAAGCGTGTGTAGTATTGGGCGCCCAATGGGGTGATGAGGGGAAGGGCAAAGTGGTTGACCTCCTGGCCATCGATTCCCATATTGTCTGCAGATGTCAGGTATGATCACAAAAAATATGTTACTTTTTATCGATTGGTATATATTCTTACGATTCTTGAAATTCTGTTGCCTTTATGTATGCATTGATGGCATTACTATTGGTTATACATTGCATACATTGTCTGCATATTAATTGCTAATTAAATAAAATACTTTTTCTATAAAAATCTACACAATTTTGTGGTTATATTGAAATGATTGAATTGTTTGGACACATATAGGGAGGCAATAACGCGGGTCACACAGTGGTGGTCGGGAACACTGAGTTTGACTTTCATCTGTTGCCGAGCGGTATAATCAACAACAACTGTACGGCAGTGGTTGGCAATGGAGTTGTCATTCATTTGTCGCAATTCTTTGACGAGATCCGCAAGAATGAGGGCAAAGGTCTGTCAAATTGGAAGAAACGGCTCCTCGTCTCAGACAGGGCTCACTTAGGTATGCGGTGTCTCTCCCACTGTCTCTCTGTATTCCGGACAGGAATTGTTGAATTCTTCGTCAATTTCCTTCACTCATCCGGACGTTTACTTCTTCGCTCTGCTCTCTCCCTATACTTTCAATATTATGCCGTCGTTTACGACAACACATTAACAACAATTGTGTTAACAATTTTTGATAACTTCATAACTATACGGATGTTTCCATTTCAAGCAAATAAGACCTAATAAAATAATACTGTATTTTTGGAGAATCACTTTCTCAATGTGTTTTGTCAAGAATAACAAAATGGTTATTTTAATATAGAATTTAATTATGCTTTAATATTTATATTAACAAAATTCTCAGAAAATGCAGCACACGTATATAATTGTGTATATAGTTAGCGTTAGACTAAAAATACCTATAATTGACGGCAATATCTCATAAAAATATTATGATTTGTCGATATTTCAGAGCGAATGCAAACACATAAAAACAAAGCAAATATTAGTATATAAAGCAAACAAAGTCTGACCGCAAAGTTTGGTTATGCGTTAGACTTGATATAACTATATGTACACTATATGTGCGAAATTGCATATTAGGTTATTATGAAAAGATGAGTTAACCACTGATTACTTAGAGAGTGGTGTTGTCCTAAAGCCTCAATTTGTTTATTAGACTCATCGCTAATGTTTACACAACCATAAGCTATGGCTGTTTTTGCTCTGCATTAGGAATCATATTATATTACTAATGGAGGCTTTCTATCAAAACTACATCACGTTTTCCACATTGACTTTAAATATAATAAATTTTACTGATATATCCTTCATATGTATGTTTCAGATCCCTATACGATGTTCGGCGCGACGAGTCAACGACTGGCCACTTCAGGTAAAACACAATACTATCGCATAAATACATCTAAATAATAATCATGATCATCATATAATCCGCAATCATTCTAAAACCAACTCTCATCTCTTCATTTATCAATGAATTCATTTGACTAATTAAAGAAATGCAAACTCAAAAAGCCCTCAAATGATAGACAGCACCGTTAGGGAGAGGAGTAGTGCAGTGATAGCCAACACTACTCTCTATAGTGGGGGCTATTGTTCTGTGAGAATATCATTTATTGTGATTATTTTTTATATAAACTTTTTTTACGTGATTCCCTGACTTTCATTCATTTATTGTTTCGTTCGTTCAATGCATTTATTATTCATATTATTATATATACAGTAATACCATAACTGCTACTATTATTTGGTGCCGCTTTTGTGTCAAACCATTAATAGCCAATTCATTTATTTCTATTCATATATATTATATTTTTAGCTTAATTTCTCATTCTTTTTCAATGATTACGATTTTTGAATGTCATTATTGGCGAACATTTTTTCTATCGTTTTCTTTAATAAATAATAAATTGCATTTCAAACAGTTATTTAGCTTTTGATTTCCAATTAATTATATTTTTACTAAACATTACTTTAATAGCCATTGAATAGTAATTAATAAATGGCATATAATATTAATACTTCTCGGTATTACTTAATTTCTATTAGTAGTCATAATTATATACAACATGTATAGTAAGTACTTGTTATAAATTCTGCAGTTATTCTGTGTATATTATTGACTTTTCATTTTACAATACATTCATATTATACAGCAAAACATCTCATTTTATATTTATAACTAGACATTATAAACATATTGTACCTTGCTTATCTATAACTTTTCAGAACTAACATCATTACTTTACTTTCAAAATTAATACCATTTTGTAAAATAGTTTGTAAGAGTATATGTGATAATACATTAATGTAAGATTTGTATAAATTACTGCTCTATAGAATGTTCTTTGTCTGCCCCGTACAGACACCAAGGTATATTACAGTACAGTATATTCTTAATGAAAAAATTACTGACAAATATTCATAAAACTTGTATAATTAACATGTGGTGTATTTGTTGATGTGTTAGGTTCGGGTCAAATCCAATTGTGGCAATTCCTGCTGGAACTGCTCTCAGAGAGCAATAACGCCAACTGTATTACATGGGAGGGCACTAACGGTGAATTCAAATTAACAGATCCGGGTATGTCTTATCAGTTGGTCATAATTAATACGACAAACGAAACGCTAATGAATAGTAATTAAGTGTTTGTAGAGATAACTTACGTTTGCATTTGTAGATGAAGTCGCGCGAAGATGGGGTGAGAGGAAGAGTAAGCCAAACATGAACTACGATAAGCTGAGTCGAGCGCTCCGCTATTACTACGATAAGAACATAATGACCAAGGTGCATGGCAAACGATACGCCTATAAATTTGATTTTCAGGTCTGTTTATTGCGATCAGTATGTTTCAAACAATCTAATTATTGCATCAAAAACTCATTCACTCGCGTATACATCAATTGTACGCGTGTTTTGTAATGTTATGCTAATTGTCTCGCATTGTTTGTCTCCCCGTCTCCGCAGGGTTTAGCGCAGGCAACGCAACCCACGGCTGCCGACCCCTCGGCTTACAAAGCGGCCTATCAATCGGCCGACCTATTCATGCATCCGCCGCACGGTTACCACCATCCGGGCTCATCCGCCGCCAAACATCTCAACTTCGCGGCCGCCGTCCACAGCGCCGGCATCTCTCCGTCAACGCCGGGCAGTATATTTCCGTCGGCGTCGTCCTACTGGACGAGTCCGGGCGCTGCGGCCAATCTGTACTCCAACATAGCGGCCGCGTCGGCCACCCATCACTCGATGCCACACCATCACCACCCGAGTCATGTCACCTCTCATATTGGCTCATATGCTCATTACGCGTGACAATGAATACCAATCCATTTCTCCCGCAAAACACACAACAAAACACTTTTCCTAATATTATTGCGAAACTATAACTCAATAATAAACATGAAAGGTATGCGCCGTAAGAATCAGCGGTTGATTAGGTTTTCATACAAATTGTAAGCTTTTTATCCTACAATTGATATGAAAATCATAAAACTTCTGTCTCTTTCACACACGAAGAACTGTTTTTCAATGTTTTCAATGCATTGGTCTCTAAAAACAAATGCAATCTTATTATTAAAACACAAAAATGTTTTGATGATAACTTAACTGTAAAGAAAGACGTTATACTAGTCTATAATTTGCCAAAATTTCATGATATTAAGTGATAAATAAGTTTTTTGGATAAAAATTTATTTATTTGACACAAATGTTACATAACGTCCAATACCTCTCTCTTTGTCACACTTATAATGATCATTACAATCAAAATAAAACCATTGATTAAAATACATACTATTGTCATAAGATTTACCATTATTTGTAAGTCAAACAGAATTTGTGAACACAAAATGTCAACTGATGGTTAAATTCTCTCCGTTTATGTAATATAAGTTACAATAATTTATAACATAATAGAGATCTTCATAATGTGTACAACAATTTATTGTTATTTAAAAACAATCGACATATAAACCGATATGTTATCCAAAAAACTAAATACTAGTCATTCAGTATTCCTTATAACTAAAAAATCAATTCATTTTAATCCTTAAACGATTGTATAATTATATAAAAAAGTTAATATTATTGTGTATTAAATTACAAAAGTGTTAATTTAGACGAATATTCATTGAATATAATGTAAAATAATATATAAATAAATACTTATTATCGTAGCTCTAAAAACCATTGATTATTTTCGTTCCGCTTTTATATAGTGTTATAGGAATCACAAAAAAGTGTAAAACATTACAACATTTGTTCGTCTCTTATATTTCCCATTCACTGAAAGCAATGTGTATTTAAAGTGTTAACTCAAACACAATAATAGTTAAAGTAATGACAATCGGATAGTTGAAGGCTATAGTCAACTGTATTGTATAGTCCAATGTATTGTAGAAAACAAGCAATTATTGTGAAAATTTTGTATTCAATGGAAATATAGTAAATAGAGTAAGGATTCTGTGATGTCTCTCAATTTGAGTACACATACAGCACATCCAAGCGCTGGGAGCTATGCTATGCTCTCTCTCTCTCTCTCTCTCTCTCTCTCTCTCTATCTATCTATCTATCTATCTATCTCTCTCTCCGATTGATATTTTTCAATGCAATCTTATATGACATTTGTCTCTATCTCTCTCTCTCTCTCTCTCTCTCTCTCTCTCTCTTGAATCTGATTATAAGCACAACTAAATGTAATGCAAGAGACAACTACTTTTAAATATCTAAAATTACGTAATAATTCGCATTGATCTAGATTGTACAGATTTAAAATAATTTTTATTTAAAATAGTTTTTCTTTTCCATCAATAGTATTGTTATTTGAAAGGAAAATAGTGTACAAAACAAGTCAAACAAAAGGGTATCCCCAGTATTGACACAATTGCTTTCATATTCTCATTTAAATGAGTATTTGGTTTTCGACTGACATTTATTGCCATTTATTTGCATATCCAGACGGATATCGATTAGTGACTCAAATAATCATTTGCTTGTAATTAACACCAGATTTGCTTAATTTAAATATACTTTTGTCATTCAATTTAATCAGTTTCCATATACAGTATACAATGCAATTCATTGTGATATAATATCACTGATATTATATGAATTGTAAAAATAATAACTAAAACAAAACACTAAAAGTAAGTAAGTATTAGACATTTTCTCGAGTCATTCACTGAAATTATTATTTATTAAATGAACAGACAATTGAAATCATAATGTTATGGCAATTGGAGTGAATGGTATAGTTATGGCACAAAACCTCACGTAAAATAACGCTAAAACAGTGTTTTGGGAATAATTATTATATTCAAGCTCTCAATCGGTTGAGTAAACAGCGGTTTAATAGCGGAGTCTCTGACAACTGAATCACAAAACCATTGAATCGTTTTGGGAATAATTCAATAATTGAATCAAAATTTGTTCATAACTTTATTTTTGATGTTTAGTTATTTGTTATGAATAGTTAGTCCGCGAAAACATTTTGGGTTTAAATTGTATAACAAAACTATATTTTAAACTAAAGGATAATAGAGATGGAGAAAGAAGAAGAAAAAGGAGAGATGGAAAGTGAGCGTTCAATACAATGAATTGTTATCTCTCTCCCCATTTCCAGTCCCTCTCAATGCCTCTCATTTCTGAGCCAAATATCAATCAAAGTGGAGATGCATTGAAGCGCAATGTTCTGTAGCGTAACGATTAACGAGAGGCACAACATAACAGCCAATACAGCCCTTCATAACACAGACACTACACTATACTCTACATTGCAATTGCATTGTATGCTATCAACGCTAACAATGAGAGAGAGAGAGAGAGAGAGAGAGAGAGAGAGAGAGAGAGAGAGAGAGAGAGAGNATGCAAAAGAAAAGGAGAGAGAGAGAGAGAGAGAGAGAGAGAGCTAAATGAGAGTTTGTTCTCTGTTCTCATCTCTGGTGTAATGTCTAATGCATTAGATGTAAGAGTAGTAGTGGTTGTAGTGATTGAGTCTCAGTCTATGGCAATGGAGTGACAGAGAGGAGAAGGAGGAGAGAGTGGAGAGTAACACAATATTGGGTTCATTTGACTATAAGGCCGACAATGAATGCTTTAATGGATAGAATATATACAGTATATGTGAAGTCAATGAATCTGATTTGCAGTGAAATGAAGTCATATTTAATGATAAGAAGCATATGTAGGAGCGATCATATCGTGATTGCGTTCATATTAAACATGTTTATATCAATATGAAGGCCAATATGCCATCCCTTATCATATCACGAAAGCCTCCGGAGATTTTGAATGCATTATCAAAATATTATTGTCGTTACTTTTTCCGACTCTATATCTGTGACTAAGTTTATAGCATTTTATCATTTCATATAAATTTTTTGTTTATTTTAACATTTAATTAATTTAAATTAAAAATTTTTAAAAAGAAGCCAATATTTTAGACAATCTTTGTTTTAGTTTTCTAGTGATTTAAACAACAAAAAACATAGAATTGCAAAAAGTATTAAGAATTCAATGTTCAGAATAACGAGTATTAATGAATAAAATGTGAATTTGAGTGCAATTTCTTTCGGTTGTCATCGTTTGTGAAGACGAGATCTGTTTATTGTTAAGTGCAGTACTTCTCAAATATTAAGTCTTGGCTTTTTATCACAAGACTTGTCTCTAACTTGTAGGCTATTGTTTCCGGTTTCCGGACCGGCACTGAGGCTTCTGTCGCGAAGACATTATTTTGCTTTCCTTTTAATATATGAACACATCTATAGAATTAAAAAAATGTCAAAAACATTAAGTTTTTGATGAATCGACTCAAACCGAGTGTCGTTTTGTTTTTCAATTCTTCTTTCAATCGCTAATAAAATATAGTATTTTATTGTCGCCCACTGTATGGCCTGTTATGTTAGTTATGCCCAAAGCATTTTCAACACCATTTGATGGCTCAAAACAAATATAAACACATTATATTACAAAATGGACTTTAAGTCTACTATTTTTTCTATACAAAAGACAACTGAAAAACATTTATATGAAAAAAATATCTGAAACCATATGACCCGTAAACGAGTGCAACAATACATAGGAAGTTACACTTCATGTGAGGCTTTATTTGAAAAAAAGTTGACTCCAAAAGACAAATTCAACTCAAAACACAAATCAAATTCTTGTTTTATTACCATATGTTGAGTCATTATCGCCAATGAATACTTTACATTAATAAACTACTTGTGGTTTTTTGCTTTATCATTACTATAGGATATCATTTGTAATTAGTGTCTTATGTCAGTAATTTTGGTCTAAAATATTATAATATTATGTAATGGAGATGTTTTCACATCATTAAACACTCCTTTCATTTTGAAAAATGTCTGATTTTAAATAGAGATCTTTTATAGATTCTGTTGGGGAGAGAGAGAGAGAGAGAGGGAGAGAGAGAGAGAGAACTTAGTCTAAAGAATATTGTGTAATGATTGACAAAGAATTCAATATAAGCCTCTTATTGATGACATTTATTCAGTTGAAGTTATTTTTGGGTGATTTTTGAATAAAAATTCAAAGTTGCAAAAAAGTTAAGCAAATCACGCGTCGAAGAACATTACAAATCAGTTGATTTCGCTTATAATACTTGTGATGCGAATTGAGTGCCAGTGCTCTACACAAGCAGTGCTGACACTTTGAAATATTAGGTCCAATAACTACCCAACAAAAAAGAGAGACTATTTTTTAGCATTCAATAAATTAGGAGAAATGCAAATTGAATTGAATGACACGACTCCACACTTTCTGTTTTCCATTCAATTCTGTGTCTCTGTTCCCAGTGTTCATCACTCATGCATTTATACTATAAAATCCCAAATGAATTTTGAGGCCCTGTTTACCATTTTGCTGACTTCTAAGACATTTTGGGAACAGTTTTTCTCTCTCTATATGTGTTCACTCATTATTGTGATGTATGTCTGGTATCATCGATGACTGTATGGCATGTATGGAGCGGTCAATTAAATTCATTACGGACTCCAATTGTTATGATTGGAAATACGAAATACAAAAAGTTTGTTACCATTTCCATCAACACTTCTCCTCCACTAGTCCTCCACCACTACATTAGCTCTGATTTGTTCTTTGATTTCCCTAAAGACCGCACTTTTTATTCACTACTAATTTCATCAGTTCTCGTAGTTATTTATTTTTTACACAAAATTACTTATTCTCTTCTGTAATACAACTCAAATTATTTTATACAACAAAAACAAAAATAACATGAATTTTATAAAACATTAAAATTATGAGTGGGAAAATTAATATGTTTCATGTTTGTATTACTGTGTAAAATTGCAATTAAATTGATTATTAAGTAAAACAACAAAAATAATAATATATTTTGGTTCAAATAACTAATGTTTGTACGTAAAGACATAATATGAAACTCATATTAAATTTTCCATATTATCTATAAATGCATACAAAGTTTTGTTGAAGCCGTTTGTGAGGCAATGCCTGCAATAGTGTATCGATTGGGCAAATATGCGGTCATAAGAGGCCAAGTATTTGGTTTCACAGCATCTCATCGTTTGAGAGGGTATTAGAGATTTTTGGCGCTGCGAATGACACTTCACTGCATCGCTGGCATCACTCGTGGTTTGGCCGCTACTCAACACTTCATGTCTTGAGATGTCTGTGACGTGTATTCTGTGTTTAATTCCCACTCTATTTGCTCTGTTGTTGAACTGTTTTCGCCACACAATGCTCTCAAACCGTTAATGCATTTACAATACATTTAATTGTTGGCAAAGTTTGTCTCACACTTCATATAATTATGAATACAATAATTGGTAACAGAATATTACTTATGATTACTAGTGGTGATGAGGAGGTGTGAGATGTCTGGCCATTACTTTTCATTTGCTATTACTTTGAATTTGAAAGCATTTTTAAATATAATGTAAACTCTCGTAACTGTCCGTTGAGTTGTATTAGCATTTGTAGCCAAAGTTATAACCAAAACATAGCTTCTCCAGCGTTAATATGGATGAGAGATCTCTCCTCTATATGAGTGATGGAACAGTAGTTTAGCATCAAATGCACAGTAAACTGAGTCAGCGTTTCCTGTCAGCGATGAAACACTAACTAAACTATACTATCATTGAATTCAGTTCTCCTTTTGTATATTATTTTTATATAGAAATTATTAGTCTGCACTTTAATGAGATGTTTAATGAATATTGTGTTTACCGTAAAATTTCAGCTCAACAAATGCCAAATTACCTAAACTTATGATTAAAGTAACACATTATCGGTATTTAAAGAGTAAATAGTCATTGTTTTAGAGACTAACTTATAATCGATTAATTGGTTTGATTGCAAATATAGTATAACTTAACACAATTGGAAAGGATTTGAGGCAAAGTTGTTGTATTTAATCGGAAATCCTGTTAACCCGTATCAGAATCGCATTCATTTGTTCCCTATTTTCAAATGTGAGGCATATTTTCTTTCAATAAGTTTTGGTGAAAGTGTAGAGTCTGTAGTCTATGGCACTGTTTAAGGGGACTCTACATAAGGCGAGCGCTCACTTGGAGTTGGATTTGAGTGCGAATTCCTTCCTCCGCCGGTTTGAGTTAAAAACTCTGTTTCCGAAGGATTTCCTTACTTTCCGTTACAATACTATAAGTTATGAAAACGCTTTTACTTCAAGAAAAGAAAACTTTTACCAAAGGATTCGTATCAAAAGGATAACTACTAGCGCTTGAGTTCATCGCAATCGCCGCTCACTTCATGTCTGCGGATAGAGTTGGCAACCGATGGCTTGCATTGCCTTCACTAGCACTCAGTCTCCACTCCATATCCGTTCACAGCTGTGTTGTCCGGAAAGGAGTCCATTAGCCGAACCCATGCTCTCCATCACAGTCTCAATGCAATGCAATTCTATAGCAAAGACTTGACTCGGCTTTCGGTCAACACTAATGCTCTTTTCAGCACTTTTTTGATGCCAACCAAACATATTATTCCTATCACTCATTCATTGTCTTCATTCTCTTCATTGTCTCTATTCTTACAAAACTTTCATTCATTTATTAATTCTTGCATTCATTTTACTCAACACTAAATATTAAATGCTTGCAAATCAATACTCGGTCTTCGCTTACAATGCAAATACTTTTGGCCAATGGTTTGCACTTAAATGCAAATAACTATTGATTTTAAACGCAATTATTATTAATAACGCAAATATTTGTCAAAAACAGCACTTATTTTCAATGTTAATGATATTTATGTTATGAAAAATTGCACAAAACTTAATACACTTAAAGTGCAATTGAGTGGATTTGTCGTCAATTAATGTCTTCATTATTATTAACTCACTTTTTACCAAAGAGTGAGAACCAAGGGGTAAAACACAACACTTATTACCGTAATAACTATTTTAATAATTTCAACACAAAATAGTTTAAATATTTATTCAAACTTCAATTTACTTTTAATAACAAATTCTTTAATTCAAAATAATTGTTAATTTTAAATGTAATACAAAAAGAAATCAAATGAAATTAAATCAACACATGGTTTGGTCCCTATTTTCAAAAACATATGATTAAAAGATGTGAATTTAGCCATCATTAACCCATTTAACGATTAATTGCTATAATAGTTATTTTAATTTTCAAATATTACTATAAAGTAATTAATAATTACTAATTATAAGCGTTTCAATGTTTAATGCAATTCAAGTGTTTGTTTAATAGTATGAAAATGTTAATCAAATGTAATGTTTAGAAAAAAGCGATTCAAATGTAAGTCAAGTGATAATGGGATGAAACCAAGTCTTCAGCTCTCATCCCAATTCTCATCGGACGGGACGACAGTGTTGTTGACCACAAAGGGCTCGACCGTCACGTTTGGCTGCCATACGCGCCGATAAGTGGACGCCTCAGTGTTGATGATATTGCGATTGTCTTCACAGGTCTTGAGGTGATCGCTGAAGAGGTGTTTGGGGAGGCGATGGCTGGCGTTGAACGGACACGACCTCAGCTTCTGGTCGCTCTTCGCCGAGCACTTGACCAAATGGATTGGCATCCGATGGGCGGGAATGCGATGCGTCGAGTCGTACGGACACGTCTTGTAGGACTTGTCGATGTTATGGGTGTCGATAAATGTGGCCATACTTTGGATCAATTGGTCACTGAATGGCAGATATGTATTGAATGACAGGAAATGTGTCCACAATTTGATCGCAAACTAAACGCTTTTAGACTCTCTGTTAGTGTTTACTATGGATTGCATACCATTTGTACGTAAATAACGTCCGCTTTTTGTGAGGGCTATTGTTGTCCCCCTTTTGGACCCTTATATACAGTAGTCATACGAATGTTCCCACGATTTACACGAAACGGGTTTAATATTTGTGGCAAATATATGAACGCTATTTACGTCATAACCACTCGTATTAAACATTGACTTCTTTGCGACAAAAATTAATTTCAAAACAAATTTCATTACATTTTAAAAAACGTTTGTTTTTTGAATTGAAAAACGCATTGAAATGGAGATCACGTTTGAGACGAATGACAAGGTTTTGCTGCTCTCGACCGACGGCTCGGCCTTTGGACAGACAGTTGTCGACACAATCGGCGCTAAAGTCAACAAAAATAATCTATTCATTAAAGACATCAATAATTGTAAGTATTTTTCTATGGTTTTTATTGGCAGTGATTTCACAAATTCATTCATTCACTGATTGTCTATCAATTGAGTACTTAATTGTCTTAATGTTTGATCCCATGGATAGTGTCGGCGAGTGATAAGGACTTTGACGTCATCTTGAGTTCTGTTCAACAAATAGAGGACAAAATTTTGGTCCAATTGTT